TCTTTTGATGGTTCACTAACACAAAGCACCAAAGGTCTACAGTTTTAGCCTGACACTCAGTTACCGTCGACCTCTCCAGCTCCTAGTTCAGCCAGCCCAAATGGGCACCAGGCTGTTTGGCATCTCCAGGCTTTTGCTCCAGCTGTTGCTTCTGGTCGGAATACTGCTCCTTCCTTCATCAACCAAAACCAAACCAAACCAAACTCACTGCCATTGAGTCGATGCCAACTCACGAGGAACTTAGAGGGCCGGGCAGAACTTCCCCTGTGAATTTCAGAGACAGGACCTGTTTATGGAAGTACAAAGCCTCCTCTAGCTCCCGGGGCGCAGACTGGTGGTTTTGAACTGATGACTCTGCAGGTCGCCGCCCCATGCGTGACCACTATGCCACCAGAGCTCTTTCTGTCAAGCAGCTCAGGCTTTATGTCCAGAAAGTCTTCTTTGATCCCTCTTGTGCAATAACAAGAATGTCCCATGTGTATTTCTATTGCTGCCTTTATACTACACTGATATCACAATAGGCTCATCTCGTCTCCCCCCCGGGGAGTCCCTCAAGGCATAGTCCATGTCAGCACCCTTAGTACACAGCACAGGGTCCACACCACACCTCACTCACTGCCATGGAGCCAGTGCTGGCCCATAGCGGCCCTATAGGACAGGGTAGACCTGCCTGTGGGTTTCTGAGACTATAAACATTCACAGGAGTAGAAAGTCATGTCTTTTTCTTGAGAAGGGGCTGTTGGTTTTGAACTGCTGACCTCGTGGTTAGCAGCTTAACGCATAGCCAGGGCTCCTGGGGTTCAGGGCAGCAGATATTTAATATGTGTCTGGAAAACACCAGAGCTCTTGCTCATGTAAGTGATTTAGAATTCCAACTTTTGCTCCATGGAGCAATAAAACTATCCCTCCAGGGAAATGCATTTGGCTAGTGCATAAAAAGGCACCCTTTAAATACTACTTGTGTGACATTTGCACTTACCTAAATTGCTGTAGGTTGCACTAGAAGGGGTCAGGTCCATAGGATCGGAAGCATCTTCTCCCTCCTCTCCCCTCTCCAGTTCCTGCAGGGGAAGTGCCGGGGTGCCTGACGTGCAGCCCCCGCCGCCATCTTGCTTCCCAACAATACTCCTTGGATCCCGGGGAAGAAAGTCCTCGGCTGATACTTCATGGGTCACATGACTGAAACAAACCAGACCACACTGGTTTGAATGTCACACTGGCTTTCAAAGGTTCTGATAAAATGTAGCTAGACGGAAAGCATATATTTCCCATCGACACGAGTAAGTGGCCTTCTAGCCCCTGTAGCAGTCACATCCTTGTCGGCATACAAGGCAGCCTTTCATGTACTCGGGTACTCTGCTTGCCTTGATCCATGCATAGGGATAAGTCACTTTGGAAAAGGAAGTATGACAGACGCAGAGAACAGAAAGAAAATAACAAGCAAAGGGTGGAAGGCTTTTTTTAAAAAAAGGTAGAGCTAGTCATCGAAAACAGACCGACAAATAAGCCCACTACCACTGAGTTGATTGAAATTCGCAGTGATACGCTATAGGATTTCCACGACTGCCTATCTTTACTGGAGCATGCAGCCTCATCTTTCTCCTGTGGGGGGACTGGTGGGTTTGAACTGCTGACCTTGTGGCTAGCGGCCCAATGGCTAACCTACAGTGCCGCCAGGGCTCCTTGGTGATGGTGAGAAACCAACAAACCCACTCCCACTCAATTGATTCTGACTCACAGCCACCTCATACACGGTTTCTTAGGCTGTAAATATTTGCCGGCGCAGATAGCCTCAATTTTCTCCGAGGGAGCAGCTGTTGGGTTTGAACTGCCGGCCTTGTGGTTAGGAGTCCAACACTTAACCCTACAGGGTGATAGAGGGTGCTAAATGCTTGACTAGTTACAGACAAATATATTAAAGCATTTAGTAAAGCACTACCCTACTCCACATGTAGTACAAGACTGTGCCATAATGCTGTAGTCAATACCAAGTATCCGCAGAACCCGAAGGGAGCAGTTTCTAGTCTGTCCTAGCGTCGCTGTGAGTCAGAATTGACTCGATGGCAGTAGGTTTGCTTTTGGTTGATGATATTTATTAGAATTCCTGGGTGGATCAAGTGGTTAAAGTGCTTGCTTACTAATCAAAAAGTTGATGATTCGGGCTCACCCAGAGAAAAGGTGTGGCAATCTCCTTCTAGAACCCAGTCACCGAAACCCTGAAGAAATAGCTGTACTCTGACACACACGGGTCACCTGAGGTTTACATGGATTCAATGGCAGTTCTCGAAACCTTAAGGATCTACTAGAGTAATGTCATCAAGGAGATTCGAATTCTAAACATGGGAGTAATTATCTTGTAGGCAGGAACCCTGGTGGTGTGGTGGTTACGCGTTGGGCTGTGATCTGCATGGTCGGCAGTTGGAAACCACCAGCAGCTCCTTGGGAGACAGACTGGGCTTTCTACCGCCGTCAACAGCTACAGTCTTGGAAACCCACAGGGATTGCTATGCGTCAGCATCGACTCGATGGCAGTGAGTTTGGTTTTGATTTATCTTGTAGCTGAGCGGAAGCCAGGAGGGTCTCACTGTCATCGGGCAGAAGCACCAATCTTTGCCTGTGTGCAATGGAAAGTTCTACCTCCTAGTTATTTTCACGTGCATCCCTTTACGGTCCCACATGATGCTTTATGCTTCCAGTCTTGGTTCATCACTGTGTGCCCGTCTACTGGAAGTTACCTCTTCCCATCTCCCTGGAGCCCGACTCAGTCAGAACTGTGCTGATTCTGCGACAAGGGGATGGAAAGGTTGTTACCTGCTGGTGGAGAAAACTGGCCTTGCTAGACAACCTCAGTGGGCTGGTCAATGGGATACATTCAAAATTCAAAAGCATCTTTAAGGTTTCTAGCCCCACTGAAAAGAAGTGTCCTAAAGAGGGTCACATCCACCCACGGATCTTCCTGGGTGCAGGGAAAGGAGGAAGGAAGCATCTCCTAGACTACAACGTGATGAGAAACAAAATCAACACACAAATCCAGTGCTGTACAGTCGATTCCGACTCACGACCACCCACCCCACATGCCAGGGTGGAGCTGCCATGGGGTCCTGAGGCTGGAAGTCTTTGATGGAAGCGGCATGCCTCGGCATTCTTCTGAGGGGCACAGCTGGTGGTTAGCAGCCAAACGTCTAGCCGCTGTACCACGCGGGGTCCTTTCTCACATCCTGAGTCCAGCGCCATCAAGCCGATTCACGGTGACCCCGCAGGACAGGGAAAAACTGCTCCCGGGGCGCCCCAGGCTGTATCTTTATGGAAGCAGCTCTCCCTGCCATGGAGTCGATGGGGACCCACGGTGATCCTCCAAGACCGGGCAGAACTACCCCTGTGGGTTTCCGAGACGTTTAACTCTTTATGGGAGAAGAATGCCCTCTCTTGCTCCTTGCGGTTAGCAGCCCAGTGCCTGACCACTATGCCAGCAGCAGAGTGACCCATTTTCCTCCTGAGGAGCACAGCTGCTGGGTTTGAACCGCCAACCTTTGGGTCAGCAGCTGCATTCTCATCCACTGCGCCACTGGGGCTCCTTCTCATCCACATGTCATTTCTGTTTTTCGGTTGTCAGCCAGTTGTGGTGACATTTGCAGGTTTCCTTTTAAAGAGGTGCTTCGTTTGATCGCGTGTCACCAGCACACAGACCACCTGGGGATCTGAGGAAAGTGCAGTGTCTTCCTATCAATCTTTCATTACGGAAATGGTGTGCGTGCCTGGGCCGAAAACAAGCCTTGAAGTCTGCTGGGTACACAACTTCAAAAATACTCTCAAAGCTGGCAGAGCCAGAGGCCTCCCCAACTGGGAGGGAGCAATGAGCTTGCAGTTCTCTGGTGGGAACAGCCCCGCGGAGCGGAGAGGCGGGAAGGGGTCTTCACTAGTAGCTAGCACGGCGGTCCATGTAAAGGGGGCCTTATTCAGTAAACAGAGCTGCCCTTTCACAATGGGCTGCCCAGCCCGCCATAATTAACCCAAAGGATGCTGGGATTCATGACCTGGGCCCTCACTTAATCAGGGCGCTGGGGAAGCGCTACTTCCTTTCATGCATTAGCAAGAACGAAGCATGATGACCATCTAGAGACACTTCTGGGCACTACATGGTGTCAAGATCACTGAGCAGCTCCCAGCATGCTCTAGGAGAGGGAACATGCTCTGCTGATTAAGAATATGAGCCATTTAATTTCAAGCCAATAAAGATGAAGTGACTTAAAAACATCAGTCCGCTTCCAGAGGAAAAAGGTTGAACATTACAGAAAGTCTCTCCTTTTAGGGCAGGGGTTTCCTCAAAAGCTATTTTTAGATTCCTAGTCTCTGCAACCTCACTCCTTCCAACCCGTCCCCACCCCATCAATCTCCTGGTTGTTCTGAAAAGGACAGGTTCCCTTTCCACTTGTCAAAAAGGGTCGCTGGAGGCTGCTTCAGGGCCACGATCCCACCACCCCATGTCTGCTTTGTTCCTGGGAACGGGTGGATTGAGAAGCAGGCTCTGCGCTTACGAAAATCACAGGACGGGCTGGTGCTGCTAGTAACCTGTGAGGAACTCCGAGGGGCCTTTTCCTGTTCCCACAGCTCTAGGCTCCAAAGGGCTTCTCAAGACAAAACGTGGAGACTAAAAGGCAAGAAACGTCGAAGACTCACCCACTGGGTGCCCCTACACAACTCCCCATGAAAGGACCAGCTCGCAGGGCCTTCTTGAGCCAGTTCACCGAGTCCTGCAACTCTGGGGAAGCAGAGGCCCCGCTGAGTTACGGAGAGCAACAGGCTGGACAAGCTATGAGCAAGAGGTTCGCACTGGGCACGTTTAATATCTCACACTGCACCTTAACCTTTACCTTAGGGCTCTGATCTGGGCGATGTGCCAAGTTACCTTTGGGGAGCCAGGCAAGTTTGATTAACTCGTTGAGGACCAAGGCCAAGGCGCCAAGGCCTGTAGTCTAGATAAAAGGCGGGTTTTCACAAGCACATTCTAGTAAGTGCGCTGGTCTATGAAATCACCAGTCAAGACTACTGTCAATTACAAAGAGCTATGCAGATAGCGTTGATACAAGTAAAATTGTGTAGCTTTAACAAACGGATGCTAAGATTTTTAATCTGCGCTTATAGTGACAGACCCCCATCTAAAAAGGAGTAAGATACAATAATAATTTATAAATTATCAAGGGTACTGGGGGAGAGGGGAAGAGGAAGGGAGGGGGAGGGGGGGAAAGGAAACTGAGCTGATTCCGGGAACCCAAGAGGAAAGCGCATTTTGGGAATAATGAGGGCAACAAATGCATAGATGTGCTTTACACAATTGATCTATGTATTGTGATGAATTGTATGAGCCTCAATAAATTGATTAAAAAAATAAATAAAAAGGAGTAAGAATTTGAGAAAAAGTAAAAAACATCAGTGATATGTCATGTCTCCATGCTGGAGGGAAGAGCTCTGTGTGTGACTGAAGCTGGGGAGGGGCGAGGGAAGGGTGCGGTTCTGAGAGTTCTGCTTAGCTGTGGCAGCACGCTGTGACTAAAAACACGAACAAAGACGTAGGGACGGCAACAGAGAAGGTTGACTCAGCCGCTGTGCAGAAATGACACAAACACACCTGCGCTCCCGGAAGGAAATAAGGAAGTGCAGCATGTTTCAATGAATCCATCATTTGGTGTTATTACTTTCCTAGGGAATTTTCAGTTGAGACCACGGACTGTTTTCTATTTAGGGGAAGAGCCCACCAACAATAGAAGGACACTTCACGCCGTTCGGCTTCATTCTGTAAGCTGGTGCTTTAACACAGGTGGTTCACCTGTAACGGGTCCCTGGGAAAAATTTGATGTAATGGAGAAAACAGCAAAATGGGACCCAGGAGTCCCAGTCTCCCTTTGGTTCTCGACAAACTGGGTGACTGCATAAGAAGTAGAGATGGAGAAGAGGCAGCGTCCCACTCCATCCCCGGGGCAGTTGCCAAACAATGATTTCACATTAATAATGCTGCAATTTCAAATACACTGCAAGGAGGCTTCAGCGAGTTTGTGAGGAAATCCCATCATCTTTAAATTCCACTCTGCCAAACTTTGCAAAGCCTCCTTATGTCGTGGCTTAAAACAGAAAATACTGACAAGGAAAGGTCGAAGTTCTCATGGCATAGCCTAGAGACAGAA